CACCAGGTGGCGCTCTTCCTCTTGTCTGAGGTTTTTGTTGTTGTGAGCATTTCTGTTGAGGATTGGCAGCGGGGGTGAGGTGGGGGTGTTTGGTTTTTATTCCCCCCATCTGCTGGGTGGTTGCAGCAGGTTTTGGTCACTTCACATGACCCTGGGACACTGTGACCATCATAAATATGAATCAGTTGCCAAGCATCTGAATGTAAATCACAGGACCCTGGAGATGCTGCAACATTCCAGCTGATTGGTGCTTCTTCTGGGTTCAGCAGAAGAAGCACCAGGATCAGCGCCGAGCTCCAGCTGGAGCCTGGTGCTGATCCTGGCGCTTCCACTGAGCCCTGACATCCCTGAAGAAGGGCTGATCAGCTAGAAAGCGGCACTGATCCTAGTGCTTCCACTGAGCTGTGACAGCCCTGCAGCTCCAGCCGTCTCGCTCAGGCTTGTGCGGTGCTGCCACCGGTTCAGGTCATTCCCCTCCCATGCTACCACTTTTCTAGGATGGTCACGTACCACCTGCCAGGTGCCAATGTACCATATGTGGTACCCATACCACTGGTTGAAAAGCCCTGGGTTATGTTACCCAGCCTGGTAATGAAACCTCTAGAGCAGTGTTTCTCTACCTTGGCAACTGTAAAATGCCTGTATTTAACTCCCGGAATTCCCCAATCAGCAAATTCAGCAAACACCAAAAAGCCAACAGTTCCAGATGGACTAGAACAGAGGTCCCCAATCTTTTGGGCACCAGGGACCAGTTACACCAATGGTTCTCAACCTTTTTAATGCCGCGACCCCCAACCAGTTGTAAGTCGAGGACTACTCAACTGGTCGTAAGTCGAGGACTAACCAACCGGTCGTAAGTCGAGGACTTTCCCTGCCCGGGAGCACTGCACATGCGTGGTGCCGCCCCCTGCACCAGCCTAGGCCTAGCTGGCAAGTGGCAGCGACGGTGCAGGACGACCACAGGCTGGGCCACCAGCTGGCCCAGCCCAAGGGAGGTAAGGCACCCGTCAGGCCCTACGCGTGCCAACAACCTTCCCTGCACCCGCCGGCCTCCCACCTCCCACCTCTGGCCCTCTTTTACTTACATTTTTAGTAGTTGCTCAGCAGGGAGGGATGGAAACTTCCAGACAGCTCGCCTTCGCTGCAGACAACTTGCAGCACCGTTTGCAGAATGGGACTTTTGGCGGGCTCAGCAGGGCAGAGACAGCCTGGACAATTCCTATTGGCTTTTGAAAGGCAATAGAATTAGACTCTATTCAAGAGAGTCTATTCTATTGGCTTTCAAAAGCCAATAGAATAAAAGGGAGTAGCACAGCTAAGGAAAAGGGGGGGAAAATGGCGGACTGCATTGTTTGGCGACCCCCGTGAAATGGTCGTTCAACCCCAAATAGGGTCACAACCCACAGGTTGAGAACCGCTGAGTTACACGGAGAAAGGTTTTTCCACAGACCAGAGGGGGTGTAGTTTTGTGTACTGCTTGTACCACACAGATGGGGCTTTGCTTGTTTGTGCAGCCCAGTTCCTGGCATGCCACGGCCCGGTACCGGTCCACGGACCAGGGGTTGGGGACCCCTGGACTAGAAGACCCCCAAGGTTCTTTCCAACCCTGTTATTCTATGTGCTATGAGTCAACCTTGGAGTGGCCTAAATTTTCTATTGGTGTTTGAAAAGTGAGCCTTGCACCTTATCTGAAATACAGCAGTGAACAGGAAAAAAAAAAGGCCTCTCTTACAGTACTTATTGAACAAACCAAAGTTGGGAATGAGATTCAAAAAGCAATTCCAAATTTCAAATGGGAAGTAAAAGTTACAGCCACATTCAAAGGTTTGGAAAAGTTAAAATGTTTGGACTCCATCTCCCAGAATTCCCAAGCCAACATGTGGCTGGATAATTCTGGGCATTGAAGTCCATACATCTTAAAGTTGCTGATGTTGAGAAACAGTGCAGTCTAGTATACTAAGATATTCATTGGGTGAACCCTTTCTGGGGAGCATTTCATATTTCATATTCATATTTCATATTAAAAGTATTCATTAAATATTTCTCCAATTTCTTTGGCAATTTAAATTGCAGGACTGTAACCAGTTTTAATTCTGCTGTTGTAGTTTTTACATGGATGTTATAGTACTTACTCTATGATTAATGTGCTTGTGGTTATTTTTCTGAAAGCAGCTTTGGGGGTGGAGTTAACAAATGAAAAATGATCTACTCTTTTAAAACAGAAATATCACCCAAATGGAAGATTTTAACACCATATGCTCCACAAACCATAAAATACCTCTTCATTCTCCATGTCATCTCATAAGGAAAGGCCCCCAGATAATGAAGAATATCACAAAACATTCTCTCTTCACTGATTTTAATGCTCCGCATTTGTTTAAGGGAGAGTTCAGAGCGAAAGAAAATTAATTCATTGATTGAAAAGGGCAATTAGAAAGCATGACACAGCAGACTGCATAAAAACGAAGTCCTTTCTAATATCTTCTGCTCCTTCAATGGATCCCTGACACCTTTTCCCATTAAAAAGTCATTATAGGGTTGCACACATTTTCTATGTTGTTTGATTAGTTCCATTTGATCATTTTTGTTGATCTTTGCAATTCCAAAGCATTCGTTCTTAATGTAGCAACCGCCCACAAGGCTAAGAGTTTAGCCATAACACTGCAAGCGTGAGAAAAAAGTGACATTAGGAAACACCTTTAATTGGTCAGGAGGACAGTGAACTCTAGAAAGATTCCTCCTAAGTGTGGCTTTTTTTTCATGCAAAGGAGAACCCCAGATTTCACATTTAAATGATCTGCAAAACTTGGAAGAAAACCGTGAATGAAAGCAGACGTTTAAACATCACACACCAACACACACCAGTTCCCCTTACATCAGTTAGTTTCACTGATCTTTTAATGAGGGAAATTGAACTGGGATGACTCCCAGAGAAGAAACAGGACTGATGAGGTGCCCTAGATTCCCTGTTTGTGCACCTGTGTTTGGGCACTCATACAGGATCAAAATCAGCCTGCTACATAGCATTTTCAGCTTACAAAAGGCACTTGCTGCAAGGATTAAATGTATAAACATATAAACCATGAGGCTGGATTCAAGAAAAGCTTTTTTTTTTGTATGGAAGATATTAATGGAAGTAGCAGGACTTCTGCAGACATGGTTATAGTCAGACATGGTTATATAGACAGTCTTGAGCCCGCTGGATTTTGCAAGGAGAATGTTAGTTGCTGCCGTCCTCTGCTGGAGAAAAGCCAAACTGACCATGGGAAAAATCTGTGACAGAGTTTCTTCAACCTTGGCCGCTTGGAGATGTGTGGACTTCAACTCCTAGAATTCCCCAGCCAGGTAATTCTGGGACTTGAAGTCTATACATCCTCAAGCAGCCAAGGTTGAGAAACACTGATCCAAGACTTAATATCAGGGGTCTTCAAACTTGGCCCTTTTATGACTTGTGGACTTCAACTCCCAGAATTCCCCAGCCAGCATGCCTGGCTGAGGAATTCTGGGAGTTGAAGTCCACAAGTCATAAAAGGGCCAAGTTTGAAGACCCCTGCTTAATATCAACAAGGATTCCTAGGGGAGTCATTCAACCTTTCACTCCACGCCCATCATCATTGTTCAATTAAACCTAGCCAGATTTAGAAAAGGTAGAAGACTTGAGTCCACGTCACAGGCAGAAATCTCCTGGGGTTGGAGCTATCGTCACTGATTAGCTGCCTTCTTGACTGGAGTGGATTGCAAGCTGAGAAGGGAATTTTAAAAAGCTGGCCAGATTTCTTTGCATAGCTCTACTAAAACCCTTTTTCAGGCTGGGGTCTGAAATTTCCTCACCTGACTTAATGCAGCCAACTGTGCTTGGTTAGTTTTTGCATGTTACAGTAGCATCTCTACTGTGGGGGGGGGGGAAGAATCAAAGCAGCATAACCCAAACCCCACCTCTTTTGCAATGCATCATGATATCACCAGCATGTTCCAAAAGCAAGGGTCTTCAAACTTGGCCCTTTTATGACTTGTGGACTTCAACTGCCTGGCTGAGGAATCTGGGAGTGGAAGTCCACAAGTCATAAAAGGGCCAAGTTTGAAGAGCCCTGTCCTACAGGTACCCTTGGTATCAGTGATATCAGGGCTTGGGGCTCTTTGAAACTCCACCCTTTCTCTGAAGCTCCACCCACTAAAGTCAGAGGAGGTGTCACCGTTTCGTAAGACAGAAAGCAAATACCTGCCTGGGTACCATAATCAAGGTAGGGCCTTCATGGGCCAGATTGGCTTTCCCACACATGCAACACACAAATGCGTACATGGGCAGCATCCCTCAGCCTCCCCCAGTGTGATAGCTCCAGTTTGGTTGGCCTTCCAAATGTAATAATTCTTAGCCAGCAGGACCAAATGCATGGCTGAAAAAAGGCAGGAACAGAACACCCATCCCCCAAAGTGAAGGTCACATTCTTTCCACCCTCAAGCTGACCCTTGTAGCAGTTAATTTTCCTTAATAATGCTGCTTATTTCTAACAAGACAAAGTCCCTATAATCCAGGAATCTTCAAACTTGGCACTTTTAAGACTTGTGGACTTCAATTCCCAAATAGCCTTTTCATTTCCCCTCAGTGGGAAACACTGTTGTCCTCAACTGGCCACAGGAAAAAAAGAGGGAAGTTGCTCCTCAGCAAATTTCTACCAAAAAGAAAAAAAAAAAGCTTTTTCAACTTGTTATATTGCAAAGTTCATCTAGGGCTCATTAGCTGGGTGAATCTGTTGATGAGATCACATCCTGCAAGAAAGGATCTGCAGAAGATTGCAGGGTAACTCTCTAGCAGCAGAAAATGGGAAAAACAACTAATGGTCTGAGAGGGTGGGCTGCAGACAATACTGGCTTCAAAAGATTCTGTGGATATCCAGAGATTTGTTTTTGTTGGCTACCCATTCACAAGTTGACCTAAGGGAATATTAAATTTATTTCAGGCCTAGCATCTTCTACTCCACTAGTTCCTGAAGGTCTTGGTAGCTTATTAAATAAATCCAATACTGAAGTTCTTGTACTTCCAATTAGCTTCCCCATTCCTGTAGCCCCATGTTTCTCAGCCTTGGCAATTTTAAGATACATGGACTTCAACTCCCAGAATTCCTCAGCCATCATGCTAGCTGGGGAACTCCGGGAGTTGAAGTCCACACATCTTAAACGTGTGTTTAAGATCAAGAAACTCTGCTATAGACCTCCTTCTCCTGGCATTCATTGAATGCATTTGGTCATGCTGGGCTGGAAACTAATAATCAAGGTATCTTGGGAAGGTAATCCTAATGTCCTCCTTGTCTTCTTTCCCATTTGCTCTTTCCATTCCTTTCCGCTTCCATTTCCACTCCTTGTCTTCTCCCATACTTGTATAGGGAAGCTAGAATAACATCTACCTCTTTGCCCAATGGTTGGGTTGTCAGAACAAACTGATAAGATTACCCTCTTGAAATGGGGAGAACCACCAAACTCTTATCATCCTCAGCGGGCAAATTCTCCTTCCTACTTTTAAAAGCCAACTGTGCACCCTAAAATCCTGTTTTCAGAACTAATAGAACTATGGCTAAAAAAAACCCTTGCTAATGAACACAGATTTCAATCCTACCTCCATTTCTTTGCACATTTATGATCAATTCACCAATCATCCATCCATCCACAGGAAAGACACAGAGGGAAAAGCATGGTTTGGGGAAGTTGTCTATCCCTCCCAGGCTTGTCCCCTTCTATGAATACAATTCAGATTGGCTGTGCCATCTCAAATGGCACAATTATTAACAATAGAAAACACCAATGAAATAGCACCTTATGCTGGATGAAGCTCATGTGTGCTTTTCTTTGGTGATAAGGAAAAAATCAGGATCTCTCACTATTCATTGTTTTTAGAACTATTGCTTTGGTGGGAGCCCCAAATTGATCTCGTGGTAACAATCATGGTTAGTTCTGAACAGGGAGGAACCATCTGTGAAACTGAGGAGAATATACTAGATTGAAAAACTTGAGCCACAAGCGACAGCAAACCACTTCTCTAAAGCTGCCGAAAGAACTGCACGGATGCAGCTACCAGGAGAAGAAGCTTGACTCAAGGGACTTTTATTTCCAGAAGCCCAAGGAGAACTTTTTAAAAGAGAAGGGCTCAGACAGGGCTCTACTGTAAAGCAGCTTGAGCTGAGCTCATGAGTTAGAATCCCACATGGTCACTAGAACTTGGTTGAAGGCCAATGGTTAGAAGGCTGCCCTCCCTCTCGGAGAGGCAGTGGACTTCAAACAGCAAGCCAAAACAGAAGGAGAAGGCCTTGGTGGGGCTTGCTTGGGTTGGGATGATCCCAGAGGCAACCAGTTCTGGAATTCACTGGAGTTGTGGCAAGCAATGGGGTTGGGAGGACCAAGGCCAAGCGGAACAAAAGAGGGGGTGCTCCAGATCCAGGAAAATAACGGATGCAGCTACCTAGGAGAAAGGGAGAAAAGGAAAGAAGTGAGGCACATCAGAGGAAGTTGACATTCAAATAAAAAAAGAAGCTGAGGACCTCAAATGAGTTGTGAAGAGACTCCCAGTTACAGCCAGGCTGTTCGGTAGAACCGGTAACTAAATGTTGTTGAGTTTGGAGAACTGGCGGAATGCACACTGCTTCTGGAAGTCTGTTCTAGGCCTGGGAGGCCTGGAGGAAGCCTCCCAGGCCTAGAACGGCCTGCCGGAAGTGCATGGATGCCACTTCCGGAAGTCTGTTCTAGAACTCGGAAGCCCAGGCCTGCATCCATGCAGAAAACCGGTTGTTCAGGTATTTGAATCGCACCAATAAATTTATCATGGTTATGAATGCCATCTTGCTGTTGGAGTTATCCCCAAGTCACTTGTTTTCCAGATTTATTCAAAACATCAGATAGCTCAGCTGCCGGTCCTTTTGCTTGATACATCTTAAATTCCTGGTCCTATATTGCTTTGATCTTGGCTCACTGACAATTAATCGCTTCAGACAGGGAACAATGGACAGCTTAGCGCTGTAATCCATATTGAGACTGCTTTTATTTATTTTACCAGTCTCCACTGGCTGGATCATAGATTGGAGCCTCCATTTTACATCCCAGGATGACCTTCGTGGAACAAATTGAATGTCACTTGGACAGGTTCGCATTTGCGCACACACAGTTTGAAGTTTGGCAGTTTGCAGCTGAAAAAGGTGATTCCAGATGGGGCCTTTGAGAGCCTGTTGTCCACTTTGTAGAAGATGGCTCTGTTCTTCACCTCTCACATGGATCCTTTTGTACAATTCCTCATCCAGTTTTGAAAGGAGAATCGTTGCAGTGAGATCCTGGTTTTCCATGATTAATACCCTTGGCACGATTGTGTGAACTGAGGTTTGGACCTTCAACTCCACTGCATGCTTAATTTCTGCTTGATTATTGCTGAGGTCATCAAATGGCACACTTACCTCAGAGGCCCAAAAGAAGATAACCCTGAAAATTAAAGACAAGCCAATCACTTCTACCCCAAAATAGGAAGTTTAGACAGGGAGGAAAAAACTGTCTTGCCTGCCTCCAATGTCATGTTTTCAAGAAAGCAAGGTGCCCTTCCTTTTTTTAACAAATGAGTTATTTACGATATAACAAACAAAACTAGCTTTCCTTTTAGATCAATATAGTATCTACACAAACAAGTCCTTTGTTCTCAAGACCACTTGGATCTCACAGAAGAAAAAGGGAAGAAAAGGGAACTAAATGTTGCATTTTGCACAAAGCCGCAAAGACGACAACGGATGGTAAAACCACAAGAGAGACAAAAATCAAACTGAGGTTAGATCACAAGGGTCATTTTTTCATTTAATCTGCAAGCAACTCACCAGTTCCAATGTCTTCTATCTCATCCTTGTGGATAAACCTAGTGGGAATTCAAAAAAAACAAACAGACAAAAAAAAGTCTGAGTTTTTAAAAGGCCTTTTCCTGAAGCGATTTATTCTCTCTCCGTCAGCAAACACACCTTAAGCTAGGATAGTCCGTTTCCTCCGGTGTCTGAGGCATTATATACCCAGACAGCTTTAAAGACCATCTTGGTTCAGAATGCTAGATGCAGCAAATATAAATTGGCAACATATATAAATAGGCAACCATTTCACCACCTCTAGACCAGGGTTTTTCAACCTTTTCACAGATTGTACCACTTTTAGGACATGACAATATTTGAGTACCACCAGTGCTTAGCAAGGTGTCAAAAAGGGGAGGGGGAATTTGGGTTTTACTGATTAGATTCTTTTGTTGTTATAGAAATGGCTAGTTTATAATATTATGGGAAAGTAAAAAGTTGAGGTTCAATGTTAATACTTCCTTCTACTGCAACAGAGGAAGTATGTTCTTTTTCCCTTCTCCCCCTTGCTCCCCCCCCCTTTTCCTCCCCACTGTGTCCTACTATTTGCTTTTGTGTTTTATTCTATAATCTAATAAAATATTACAAACTGTAGAAAAAAAGAACCAGTTTTAATTTCTTCTGTGGCTGTTCCTTTGCTGAATCACTTTCCCTTTGCACTGACAAATGTATGATGAATTCAAACTTGGCACTTTTATGATTTGTGGACTTCAACTCCCAGAATTCCTCAGCCCTCTTGGCTAGTTGAGGAATTCTGGGAGTTGAAGTCCACAGGTCTTAAAGTTGCTAAGTTTGTAGACTCCTGCGCTAGCTGGTTGGCCCTTCTGAGCTTTTCCAATCCCTTCCCTGTACCCTTAAAGCAGTGGTTCTCAACCTTTTTAATGCCACGACCCCCAACCGGTCGTAAGTCAAGGACTACTCAACCGGTCATAAGTTGAGGACTACCGTTTGCAGAATGGGACTTTTGGCGGGCTTTTGGCGGACTTTTGGCGGACTTTTGGCGGGCTCAGCAGGGCAGAGACAGCCTGGACAATTCTTATTGGCTTTTGAAAGCCAATAGAATTAGACTCTATTCAAGAGAGTCTATTCTATTGGCTTTCAAAGGCCAATAGAATAAAAGGGAGTAGCACAGCTAAGGAAAAGGGGAAAAAAATGGCAGACTGCATTATTTGGCAACCCCCGTGAAATGGTCGTTCGACCCCAAATGGGGTCCCAACCCACAGGTTGAGAACCATTGCCTTAAAGACACAGGAATCAAGTGCAAAGAAAGAAAATAAAGAAACACAAACTCGGGGTTTTTTTTCTTTTTAAGCTGCCTCAGGCGTGTCACATGTCACAATGTTGCAATTCTTGACTGAAAGGCTCCGGCAATTGCAAAAAGCTTTAGCTTTAAATTAAGCCTGTTTACCTTCAAAGAAAACTTTCTAAAAGCCACAGACAGACTCAATTAAAGGGGGTAAAACTAATTACATTTGTTTAAAGGGGTTAAACCTTTCCTGATGTCTTTTTCCCCCACCCAAACCACGTTCTTTTATAGCCTTTCCTCTCTTCCCCCCTTTTTCTTCAGTTCACCTCCAGTTCCGAGCTGCTTCCGGAAGCGCCAATCAGCTGGAGCCCTGCCAGCTCCTGGGTCTTCTGCCAAGCCCAGACAGTTCTGCAGCTGCAGCTGCCTCTCCCTCAGGCTTGGCTCGCTTTGGCTCATTCCCCTCCCCTTCTACACTTGGCTAGCAATCACGTACCACCTGCCATGTGGCAAAGTACCACAAGTGGTATGTGTACCACCGGTTGAAAAGCCCTGCTGTAGAAGTTTCATAATTGTCACTGCCTGGTTCTGTGCTGTCCCAAAGGAACCCCTAATTTGAAGTCTGCACACTGCACAAATGAATCAGCCTTTTCAAGGACTTCTAAGAGATCATAGATTTTCTTACATATTATCAAACTTAATGGCAGGATATGATGGTATAAAAGCAAGCTCAGTTTACATATAATTTTTAAAAAGTTCCCTGGCCCAGAAAAAGTTCTCCCCAAGAAAAATAGAGGAACAGAGAGTGTATATGGCCACAGATTGGCTCTTACGCCGGATTGAGCTCCGCAGAGTTCCTTCCTCTTCGACCGGTTCTCCAGTCCTGGGGACAAAACAAAACCATCACATTGGGTCTCCACCTCTTGAATTATCCTCATACCTGCCAGTGAAAACTGTTTGCATGCAGAACAGGTTCAGAGGGTTACCTTGCATTGTATTACGTACACCCCAAATCCCTTCAAGCTCTGCAGCTCTCATCTTTACAATTTGCTTTCCTTTTAAGGAACTATTTTAGCTGATTGTAAAACTAGGGGTGTCCAAACTTGGCAACTTTAAGACTTGTGGACTTCAACTCCCAGAATTCCCCAGCCAGCATGAGTAATTCTAGGAGTTGAAATCCACAAGTGCTGGAGTTGGGAATGTCTAGTTTAACGAAGAGAAGGATGAGGGGGGACTTGATAGCAGTCTTCCAATATCTCAGGGGCTGCCACAAAAAAGAGGCAGTCAAGCTATTCTCCAAAGCAGCTGAAGGCAGGACAAGAAGCAACGGATGGAAACTAATCAAGGAGAGAAACAATCTAGAACCTCCAAGGTCCCTTCCAACTTTATCATCATCATCATCATCATCATCATCATCATCATCATCATCATTATTATTATTAAGTCTTGCCAAGCTTGGACAACCCCAGTTGTAAACGGTTGCACTATCAAATTTGGCCCCTTACAAACAATCCCCAGAAGAACCTTGTAACATTAGAAACTGGCACATTGAGTTCTTTATTTTTCCTGTCTTGCGCTTTATTCTTTTGTGCCATGCATTTTTTCCACAGTAAGGCTGAAAAAATCTTGCCTTGATAATTCATCAGAATGCAACGTGCTGGGAATTGTTCTGGCTGAAAAGAGCGGCTGAGTATCAATGCAGGCGGATTTGGTATGATGTCACCTATGCATGTATAAGCGGTTGTAGGACTGCACATGGATAGAAAGTTTTCTGTATAAAACCTATGCTACAGCGCCCCCTGCTGACATCCAAAAGGAATAACAATTCAGCATAGTAAAGGTAATGATAAACTATAAGGTCGAATCTGAATGCGCAAATGGGTGCAGCACACATCAGTAAAAATGCTGCAGTGGGAATTCTTGCCTTCCCTTCCTCCTAGCACCATGTTGTTTGTGTGCTTCATTCATACAAGAGAAACATCGACTGGAGAACTGTAAAAATGGCCAACCCCTTCTGGTACTCATGCCATGTGCTGCCAGCAAAAGAAGTCCTATTAAATACATGTAGTCCTAATTTACCAATTGCCTCATTCAGGAACCATTTAAAGTTATGACAGTGCTAAAAATAATTTTATGACTGTATTTACAACCTTCACAGTCCTCAAGTCACACAATCACTATTACAGTCAGTACAGATTTTCCTGTGCTTGACCTATTATCCCACCCCCCGCGCAGAGTGAAGAGATTGGAGAACAAGGGATTACAAGAGAGTAAATCAGGACACAATGGGGAATATATCCAACTGTTTGCATAGAACACTTGGGGCTGCTGCATTGCTTACAATGTATATTCCCCAATGTGTACAAGCTTAGTTCCTTGTAGTCCCTTCTTCCCAATGAATGGAGATTCAAACATTAACTCCTTTCTTGCTAATGATCTCAGTACCAAGGTGAGGATACCAAAGAGAGAGGAAGTGGTGAGGAGGCAAAGGAGAAGATGTGAAACTGATTACAGATAGACCTCAACGTACGACCACAATTGAGCCCCAAATTTTTGTTGCTAAGTGAGACATAAGTGAGTTTTGCCCCCTTTTTGCGACCTTTCTTGTCACATTTGTTAAGTGAATCACCATAGCTGTTAAGTTAGTAACATGGTTGTTAAGTGAACCTGGCTTCCCCATTGACTTTGCTCGTCAGAAAGTCGCAAAAGGGAGTCACATGACCCAGGGACACTGCAACCGTCATAAATATGAGTCAGCCATCAAGCGTGCCCTCCAAATATCCGCAACTACAGTGCCGGCACTTCTGAAGGGTGTCAGATGTGAGAAGGCTGTTGTCGATTCGATAGTTTAGATAACAACGGAAGTTAGCTAGGGAGTTGATTAATCAATCCTCAGCCTTTAAACAATCTGTGGTATTCTTTCCTTCCCAATTTTCAGAACTCTTATTAGCTGCTAACACCCCACAGCTTCCAAATCTCCATTTTATGTGTATAATTTGAATATTTCTACAAGGGTCAAAATTAAAAGCTCATTTATTGGGTAATTATCGACATCATGCTTACAACTTAACCTTCTAATGCCCTGTCTCTCCCTGCTTCCAATCCCCGCATCCCAGAAAGAAAGCAATTATCAGCAGATGTACTAATTCAGAGAATGAATCATTGTGCTGGCCAGATTCTTCCCCAGCAGGGAGATAAAAGAAAATGGAAATAAAAGAGAATAAAGAAGAAGCAGGGTACTTCAACGGTCTCCAAATAATTAAGATATTTGAACCACATCGCAAAACATGCAAAACTACGTGACGCTATTTGTCCCCCCTTTTTTTCATACTGTCCCTCTTTGTCTATTGAAAACAACTCAGATAACCACTGTTCCACATTTCCCCCCCCCCCCCAAATTAGCCTTAGGAGAGGCTTATTACCTTTGCTGCTGGTTAAACTTGCAGCGACAGCGCCGGCCTAGGAGAGGAAGAAAGGAAGAAGAGTTGAGCAAGGACCTCAAAAGAAACTGAACAGGGATGAGGGGGGTTTTTTGGGTGAGAAGGACTATTTAACAGAATAACAGAGTTGGAAGGGACCTTGGAGGTCTTCTAGTCCAACCCTCTGCTCAAGCAAAAGATCCTATACCATTGATGGCGAACCTTTTAGAGACCGAGTGCCCAAACCACAACTCAAAACCCACTTATTTATCACAAAGTGTGGTGCCCTCGGGGGGGGGAGGGGTATGGGGGCATAGCCCACTGGGTGGGCATGGCTCCAGTTGTCACAGCAGACTGGGTGGGCGTGGCTGGGGTGGGCATGGCCACCTTGATGTTGCTCATGGGGGGGGGGGAATGCCTGTGGGGGCCGGGCAGGGTTGGGGGAGATCCAGGGGGTCTCTGGCAGGTGGGGCGGTGGGCAGGAGGCCCAGCCTAGATGAGGGGAAGCACACAATCCTAGTTGGGACGGGGGGGGGGCATGGCACTAATAGGGATCCGGCTTTTCCTGCTTGAGGTGGCCTTCGCCTTGCTGGGTGTGGGTGTGCTCTACCACCTCTACTCGAGCTTGCTAGCTGGCTGCTTTGCCTCCTTTGGGCTGGGTGGGGCTGCCGCTCCGGGTAGTGGTGGCTTAATGGACCTGCGCAAACTGCTGGCAATGGCAGCCCATGTGCCCACAGTGAGGGCTTTGAGTGCCACCTCCGGCACGCATGCCATAGGTTCACCACCACTGTCCTATACTATTCTGGACAATTTTATTTGAAAGGTATAAGTCTTGAATCCCACAATGCAGTAGTTGGGTTCATACACAAGAGAGAAGTCAGATCATAATGCATGAACACACTCGGTATAGTTCAAGGGTGTTCTGACCCCAACCCACTAAGCCCCCTTCCTGGGCAACCACGGGATGGTAGTTACTCACTAAGGATAATGAGGATGCCCAGCAGAAACAGGACAACTGCAAACACCAAGCCTCCAACTCTCAACGAATAGTAATCTGGTGTGGTGGGAAAAAAATGGGTTTGTCAGGCAAGGAATAGAAAGTAGCTTGGAATTAAAACAAGAAACCCTATTTCTATAGGCCTTAAACCACTGAAGAGATAGAGTGCTTTCCACCCCTCCCTGGACCAGCAGAAAATTATTTTATCTCCATCACTGATTCCTCTCCTGCCTGCTTTATTGCCCAACCCTTAAGCCTTAGGGTTAGGGTTAGGTCTCCATGAATTCAGAGAGTAAACTGGATATCACCAATGGATTAGTACAGGGGTCTTCAAATTTGGCAACTTTAAGACTTGTGGACTTCAACTCCCAGAATTCCTCAGCCAGCCCAATGATTAGTACAGGGGTCTTCAAACTTGGCAACTTTAAGACTTGTGGACTTCAACTCCCAGAATTCTGGGAGTTGAAGTCCACAAGTCTTAAAGTTGCCAAGTTTGAAGACCCCTGGATTAGTAGTTCCATCAATATGTTTTTGAGACAGCTCTATCTATATTTCTGGTAAAATACATGGGGAAATCCCATTGGGGGGGCAAATTCACAGGGTTAGGTCTCCATCTATTTTGAGGGCAAAATGGGTACCATTGGTGTGCTTAAGAGGGTTCTGACTTTTCAAGGCCACAATCAGACTTTATGCTTCTTAATGCTCTCTTTGGTTACTGTCTAATAGTCAAGGATGCTATAAGCCACCTCCCTCATGGACGGAGACAAGAGGAAGATAGCACCATGGAGACAAAGTCGAGCACGTGTGTTACCATGGTTTTATTATGTTGTGACTATCTACAAATGGAGAACCAGCATGGTGTAGTGGTTAAGGTGCTGGCCTAGAAACCAAGAGACTGTGAGTTCTAGTTCTGCCTTAGGCATGAAAGCTGGATGACTTTGCACCAATCACCAGGAGATTGAGAGTTCTAGTCCCATCTTCAGCATGAAAGCTGGTTGGGTGACTTTGGCCAATCACCAGGAAACTGAAAATTCTAGTTCCACCTTAAGCATGACAGACAGCTCGGTGCAGTCCCGTGTGAAAAATAGGAGGAGGAAGGAATATCAGGTATGTTCTCTGCCTTGGGTTATTTATAAAGTAACAAAGGCGGGATAAATAAAAAATAAATAAAAATGGATTCTAGACGTGTTCTACTTCAGTTCCAAATCAGCAAATTATTGTGGATGTCTTTTCCCACTTATTTTCCTCTGCATTGTTGCCCTATTAGCTTCCCAAAGCAAGAAGGCAAAAGAATTCAAAGGCATTTCCTTACATTTTAAGATTAAGAGAACCTTTATTGTCATTTTTTTGCTGTGAGCACACTGGCACACATTAAAAATGAAATTCTGTTGCCTGCTCTCAAAAGAAAGTATATATCTACCCATACACACACATAAAAGGGGACTGAATCTGGACGTTCTGCTTTGGATACCGCAAAGCCCCCTCCTCCCAGAAGATAACAAGGAAAACAGGTTATGAAGAGGATGTAGCATCCCTGATAATCCTATGGACCTTGCTCAAGATTCGCTTATCTGCCAAGTCCTGGATAGAAAGAAATGAACTACCAATAATCTCTTCTGCCATCCTCACCACTCTCTGCACCGCCTTCCTTTCGGAAGCAGTAATGCTTCCAAACTAGACAGTAAAGCAGTGTTTCCCAAACTTGACAATTTTAAGGCATGAGGACTTCAACTCCCAGAATTCCACAGCCAGCGTTGCTGGCTGTGGAATTCTGGGAGTTGAAGTCCTCATGCCTTAAAATTGTCAAGTTTGGGAAACACTGCAATAAAGCAATAGGACAGGATGCTCTCGATCATCCCTCTGTAGAAAGTGGTCAGGACAAGGGAAGAAAGATGTACTTTTCTTGTGAGACGCAGAAAACGCAGGCGCTGCTGTGCCTGCTTCACCAGTGTCTTGCATCCAAAGATCTAATCCTGGCTTTTAAGCAGAAGTCAGGTGGGAGTTTTCCAAAGAAAGCCTGAAAAAAAAGAGTTAACGATCCTTCCAAAGCATTGTTGTGATCCTCAGAATATTTGCCTGTTTCCAAATTAAATAAAAACAGGGGAATCCTTCCGGGCTTTTCTTTTTCCTGTGTTTTGTTCCTAGGGTAGTTACTCTGCCAGTTGCAGCAATTTGCATTGACTCCCAAGGCCCAGACATGCTTTCAGTAATGATTAACTTACCATATTCGAAGGGGTCGGGAGGCTGATCCTTGGGGGACTCTGAAAGGTGAACAAAGAGCAGGAGATGGATTATAAAAAACAACAACCCAGAGACAGCCTTAACTATGCTCCCCAACCAGTTAAGGTGAGGGAGCTGTTATCAGAATTGGAAAAATAGATAAGATAACTAGTAAAAAATGACAATAAAGGTTACCTTATCTTATCTGCTTTTCTAATCTTAATTAGAAAAAAAAAGCATAAGCAGGTTATTTGTTTTAGCTCCCTTGAAACTCAGCAGCACATATGTTCAATCGCTAAGGCTTCCACCATGGACAACTACAATAAGAACTGAAGCCATTTTACACAAATCCATCCAATTATTATATTATTCACCTTCTCCTACTCCCTGTCTGGCAGAATTGGTGTTGCGTGCCTCCCCATTTAAAACAGTGTTTCCAGTGGTGGGATTCAGCCGGTTTGCTCCACTTCGGCAGAACCGGTAGCTAATTTTTTGTTGCCCAGGCCCAGAATGGACTTCCGCAAGCAGCATCCATACAGAGAACTGGCTGTTCGCATATTTGAATCCACTACTGAGTGTTTTCCAACCATGGCAACTTTAAGTTATGTGGACTTCAACTGCCAGAATTCCCCAGCCAGCCTTTCAACTTACTGCCCTTTGTTTAGTAGCTGTTCAAAGTTAACATGGCACTGAAAAAAGGAACTCCTGGCCAGTTTTCACACTTGCAACCGTCGCAGCATCCCCATGGTCATGTGATTAAAATTCCGGTGCTTGGCCCCTGGCATGTACTTGTCCCAGGGTCACGTGATTCACCATTTGTAACCTTCCCACTGGCTTCAGACAAGCAAAGTCAATGGGCAAAGCCAGATTTGCTTAGCAACCAAATGCTTCACTTTGCAACTGTAATGATTCACTTAACAACTGTGACAAGAAGGGTCGCAAAATGGGGCAAACCCACTTAACAACCATCTTGCTTAGCAGTGGCGATTTTGGGCTGAATTGTGGTTATAAATCAAGGACTACCTGTATTCATTTCCTATTTATTTTCAAAAGCTGATCTTGCTATCTCAGATCCTTTCGTTTCTGTATATACTTTTTCCTCCTGAACACTCTGTGGGCTAATATATTTTATTATTTGACAACTGATCACTGTTCTTAAGACATTTTGCTTTTCAACTGTTTCTAAGCCGGATAACAGGTGCTGCATCCACGTAAATTGCCTTTTCATGTGTTCTACTGACTTATTCATCAGAAACAAATGTCTCGCCATTGAAGAGTAGAGAAAGGCGGTGGGCACGTGGAGTTCTCCCCCTCTGTTCTAGCTAAGGGGCATCAAAAGCAGTACTGAAGTCAGCTGCTGTAAATAAATAAATGCTTTAAACAAGATCTCATGCTTGCTTTATTGAATAGTAGCTCTGTTCAACTCCTCATATGATAGCTGGGATACAACTAATTCTGGATAACCCGGTTTTAACTCACAGCATCATTTTAATGTACAAGTTTGGCTCAGTGACTGGATTTAACTCATTGATCTAAATCAGTGGTTCTCAACCTGTGGGTCGGGACCCCATTTGGGGTCGAACGACCATTTCACGCGGGTCGCCAAAAAAGGCTGTCCGCCATTTTTCCCCCTTTTCTTTGGCCACGCCCCTGGCACTCGGTGATGTATAAGTGGTTGGGGGTCACCACAACATGGGGAACTGTATTATGGGGTCGCGGCATTAGAAAGGTTGAGAACCACTGATCTAAATCATAATTGAGTGATTGGATTAGCACTGGATTTTTCAACTTTGTCAGCTTCTAAACTGAAGATGTTGCCTAATTGGGTAACAAAATGTCTGCAAACGAACAACCCAGCTCAGCCAGCACCGAGGACTCCACAGCCATTTGTCTGAAATGGTATAGGGTTTCCTGCCTGAGCAGGGGTTTGGACTAGATGACCTCCAAGGTCCCTTCCAGCTTTATTATTATTATTAACAGTTCAACCTTGAGCTACAGGTATTCTTTTCCATTAGTTCTAGATGTGTGCTTTTCAGTTCCCAGAATTCTTACCACAGTCATGTTAGCAGAGAATCCTGGGAATTGACGTTTAAAAGTTGACAAAGCTGAATACATTGGCTTGGATAGATTGTGCACTACAGGTCTGTAATGCATCGCAATTATAACCTAAACCAGTGGTGGAAAACCTATGGCACGCGTGCCAGAGGCGGCACTCAGAGCACTCTCTGTGGGCACATGCACCGTTGCCCCAGCCCTGCCTCCCCTGCAGACCCCTCCTCACCAGCAGCCCTCCTGGAGGAGAGTAGCCCCTGGACACGGCCCATACAAAGCAGCACAGCCAAGGACATGGCAGCTGGGCAGTGGGGACAAGACTCCGCCCTCGCAGCCCATCGCGCGCAGATGATGCTGTGGGACACGGGCAGAGGGCGTGGCTGCCATGGCACTGCTGGGCCACCTGGGTGATCTGCGGCAGGCTGTGAAGGCGGTGGGTGGCCTTGTGGGCAGGGCAGGGGGCGAAGCAGACGGGCTGGGGGGCAGGCGGGGGCAGGTTTTGGGCACTCAGTCTCTAAAAGGTTCGTCATCACTGACCTAAGCAAACCACGGTTTAGCATGATGTGTAATCCTAGCCATTCAGTCTGTGTATTTTTTACAATTTATTATTAATTGTATGGGGATAAAACTGAACTTTCAAAATTATAACCATCATTTCTCCATGGGGAGACAGAAACTCACTTTTAATGCCACCAACTCATTCGCCATCATTAATATTATACAGGTAATAAATAATACTAACCCCAAAGGTGGGCAAGATTTTTCAGGATATAAGGTTAAATTGACTGATGGAAAAAAATATCTTGTCTGCCCTTAAAGATCAGATCAATATTCTACAAGCTTGCACTTGGTAAGAGTTTTGAACTGCAATTCTCAAAACACTAGCCAGACAGGTTATCTATGAATAAGGGGTTGTGGGGGGGTCCATGGGCAGCTGGGGGATCACTGCGCTTTGCAACTCAAACCATGTGACTTCCATATCAGCATCCAATGTCTGGACTCAAGTACAAAAGGTCAGGGTTTGTCTCACGGTATCACAAGACACAATTTGGTTATTTTTGTGTCACCAGGAGTTGTACTGGGGGAGGAGTGGACACCCAACAATTCAAAAGCACAGGAAGGCAGGCAATGGGTGTTACCTAGAACTTTCAGAATATGATATGCATCTTATAAAGTGGGGATCCCAAAGATGCTTTTTCACGAGGCAACTGTACTTTCTTGTTTTTCGTTGAAGATGTTTCACTTCTCATCCAAGAAGCTTCTTCCGCTCTGACTGGATGGTGAGGAGTCAGAGCGGAAGAAGTTTCTTGAATGAGAAGCAAAATGTCTTCAACAAAAAACAAGAAAGTCCAATTGCCTCGTGAAAAAGCATCTTTGGGATAACTATGACCTGGATGACTAAGAATCTCCATAAACATTTAAAGTGGACACTTTGGTAAAGGACGACCTTCATATCTTAACCTCTAGAAAGTATGAAGTTGTAGAAAATGGATTTAGAAAAACCCAGCCAATCCAGGATTCAGATTATGGCATCTTTATGTTTCAGTTTTTGTGCTAGGCAGGATACAGTGGGATATATCTGTTTGTGCATATACATTTGTTTCTAAAGGGCGGCCTTCTTACTTTCTGTCGTAAGTCCTTGAAGACCAGACTTGACCTTACCTGCGGTTGAGCTTGCTATGAAGACCCCACAAAGAGGAAGAAGGATCCACATGTCTACAAGTTGAGGGGAGATAAAATACAAAAAGGACAGTCAGGTTCCTGGATGGGGTTGAGTTGGAGCATGCAGTGCTCCATATTCTGTGCTTTTTGTTGTTTTCTGGGAAATCTGGGTTCCCACTCTGGAGATAGCAAATTGTTCAGCCCTTATGGCTGGATGGGAGGCCTGTGGCCTTCCAGGGGTTGCTGAACTACAGGGGTCTTCAAACTTGGCCCTTTTATGACTTTTGGGCTTCAACTCCCAGAAGTCCTCAGCCAGTGTGCCTGGCTGAGGAATTCTGGGAGTTGAAATCCAGAAGTCATAAAAGGGCCAAATCTGAAGACCCCTGCCTTAACCACTAGACCATACTGCCTCTATGCATTCAAACTCATGCAAACTGGCTCTTTTCTGGCACATTCCCAACAACTGCAATCAATAAGGTTGTCCTTGACTTATAACAGTCAACTAAATAAACCTCCAAAAGCTATCTATGACCCATTTTTTATGTTATGACAAGCACAAACATACACACACACACCAATCGTATGATCACATATTGAGCATTTGGCAATCGGTTTAACTTTAAAGCCATTTGCAGCATCCCACTGTCACATGATAATCATTTAAGCTATTTTTTGTCTGCTTCTGGCATTTACTTCCAGTTTCCAGCAAAAAAAAAAACACCCATTGGAGAAAATTTAATGAATAAAAAAATGTTGAATAATCCAGTCAGGTCACATAATGCCTTCATTTATGATTGCAATGACGATTGTAATTCCAGATTGTAATTACAGTTACAAATCTAGGATTATTACAGGATTATGATTTTTCTGTCTTGATAAGTTTCTGGGCCTTTAGCATCGCTTCTCAGCTGAAGCAATCACCCCAAACCCAACAGATAACTCTCCCCAAATCACTGCACTATCAGTACCAGAAAACACATCATGGGGTGCTGGGACCTCTTAGATCTCCTGCTCAACCCAAGAGCTTTGCCAAGTCCCAAGTCTCAACTGCAGCTGTCAACAGCAACAATCAAAACATCAAAATAAATCAGCGAAAGTAAAATTAGAGGGGGGAGCTTTTGGGATTTTAAAAAAGGGGAGTCTGCAAAGGAGCAAATAAAGCCATAGCTATCTAAACTAATAATAATAATAATAAAGTTGGAAGGGACCTTGGAGGTCATCTAGTCCAACCCCCTGCTCAGGCAGGAAACTCTATACCAGTGGTTCTCAACCTGTGGGTCGGGACCCCATTTGGGGTCGAACGATCATTTCACGGGGGTCGCCAAACAACGCAGTCTGCCATTTTTTCCCCCTTTTCCTTAGCTGTGCTACTCCCTTTTACTCTATTGGCTTTTGAAAGCCAATAGAATAGACTCTCTTGAATAGAGTCTAATTCTATTGGCTTTCAAAAGCCAATAGGAATTGTCCAGGCTGTCTCTGCCCTGCTGAGCCCGCCAAAAGTCCCATTCTGCAAACGGTGCTGCACCAGTTGAGTAGTCCTCGACTTACGACCGGTTGGGGGTCGCGGCATTAAAAAGGTTGAGAACCACTGCCCTATACCATTTCAGACAAATGGCTGTCTAGTCTCTTCTTAAAAACTTCCAGTGTTGGAGCATTCACCGCTTCTGGAGGCAGGTTGTTCTACTGATTAATTGTTCTAACTGTCAGGAAGTTTCTCCTTAGTTCTAGGTTGCTTCTCTCCTTGGTTAGTTTCCATCCGTTGCCCTGCCTTCAGGTGCTTTGGAGAATAGCTTGAGCCCCTCTTCTACATGGCAGCCCCTGAGATATTGGAACACTGCTATCACGTCCCCCCTCGTCCTTCTCTTCAAGAAACTAGATATACCCAATTGAACATAGTGTATTTTTGAAGAAAAAATGAGCAGGATCTGGCAGAAGGCGGAGACTGAGACAGTAGCCCCTGGAACAGCTGGAGAGGAAGGCATTCTGCATGGAGAAGGGGGGGGGGGAGAGCAGAACAGCCAGGTGGAAAGGAAACAGAGGGGAGCAAAGCAAGCTTGGAACAGCTGGTGCTGGGCCCACTAGTTCACATTCTGAAATGACCCAGCTGGCCCTGGAGGGAGGGAGGACAAAGGCCAGTTACTATGGCAGTGAAATGTTTGCAGTGCTGAAAATTTTCTGCAATGTTTGCAGACGGTAACCTGTCTCTCGGTGCTCAGGGATGTCGCAACCAGCTACCCTTCTGCCAGCTGTTGCTCACCAGGCAATTTCCAGAGTGCAAATGCCTACAGACCATGCTTAGTCAGGACATATGGGGAGGGGGATGGTGGAATCAGCATTGTTGAAATAAAAAGCAACCCAACTTCACAAGCTGAGCTGGCAAGTACCCAGGGCATTATAGAATAGTCTGGGGGGCTTTGATGGAAAACAAGAGAGATTTGTAAAAAAAACAAAAAAACAAAGTTGCAACATATTCCCTGAGTTAACCACAACCATAATAAAATAGTGTAACCCTGGTGGTCAGAGACAACTGGAGTTGCAATGTCGCATTTGCAGAGGGAGGCTATTCCACCAAATGACAACCCCACAAACAGAAATATTGTATTTGGGCTCTGAACTGAAACTTCTCCTTATAAAACTGAGTTCCCAGCAAAGGGAAAAAAAAAAGAGAGAAAGAAACATTTTAAAAGGAAAGAACCAACTCTGTTTCTCAGGCTTTTTAAAAACATTATATTTACCAGCAAATATATTTTTAAATTCAACCAAAAATACAAAGCAACTGTATAAACTTTTCCCACAGAGCAACGTGACTCCTGCCCTTCAGACCCACTCTTCTTGACCTTAAGTTAGATCTCAAACTGGAAAAAAGTACACTGAAACCTCCGCATTTCTTACTCTTTACAAGGAGTCCTCAACTTACAACATCAATTGAGTCCATTGCTAAGAGAGAAATTTGTTGAGTTTTGTCCCATTTTATGACCTTTTCCCCCACAATTGTTAAGTGAATCACTGCACTTGTTAAGTTAGTAAAGTGTTCGTTAAGTGAATCTGGCTTCCCCATTGACTGTGTCAAAAGGTCACAAAAGAGGATCACGTGACCCTGGGATGCTGCAACCATCATAAGTATGAGTCAGCTGTCAAGCATCTGAATTTTGATCACCTGACCGTGGGAATGCTGCAACGGTTGTAAATGTGAAAAATGGTCATAAGTCACTTTTTTTCAATGACATCACTTTGAACGGTCACTAAATCAGGGGTGTCAAACTGCTGGCCGGCCGGCCAGTTGCATCATCCTGAAGCCACGCCCATCCCAATACAAAAAAAGTTGCGATACGTCGCGACACATCACATGGCAAGTTTGACACCCATGCACTAAATGAACTGTTTTAAGCAGGACTACCTGTACTAGAAAAAAAATCCATTGCTTTAATTGTTCAGGTGGCTTTATTATAATGTTCAAAAGCAACAGAAGAATAATGCACTAGGTATCTCTCCAAAGACTGCAGGGTCCCAGTCAAGAGGCACAGAATTAAAACATAGCAATTATTAAACAGTGTGAGTGTGAATCAGTTTTGCTGGAAGATTTATCTATCGACTTCCTTCAAGAGAAAAACAGGGAAGTTGGTCGGTCCAGGTATGCAAAGTCTCCCCTCCCTTTTCCCTATCCCAATTCTGTATCACTCTGCAAGCCAGTTTTTTCAGTAAACATCCTTTTGGCTAACAGGCTTGGCTTCTACTGCTAATCAACAGGAAAGGAAATGGAAACACTCCCGTCCTTTGGCTCACTTGTGGCCTGAAAGGTTTTTCACCACAAACAGAAAACAGGCTTAATATTTCCCTGTGCAAAAAGAAGTTGTCTTATGTATTCGGAGCTCTGGGCCTCCTGCTCGGAGTTAAGATACTATTTTCCTTCTAAAACTGGATGGAAAAAGAAATGCGACATTCTATTTTCCTTTGGAATCCAGTTCACCTCTCTTCTCCCATCGTGAGGTCAGAAATGGGAAGATTTTAACCAGGAGACAAATGACTTGCTAACTTCCAGCTGGAGCAAAAAAAATGCCTGAAGAGTTTAAGAGTCATTTTAATCCTTATCCTGGACTGTTAAGGAAGCCTCAAACATTTGTGTTTGCAAAATATTCTGTATGTTTTTAAAGTTTTTTTTTTAAGGTGCTAGAAGGGAGAAATAATTAAGCTCATGGCTGGATGGACATTCTGTTAATTCTAATGGAGTGTTAATGTACATGAAATTAATTCAAAGGTTCATGCTGCTCTCACTCATTTCTGGAGTGGGTGAGTGGTGAGACCACCCATCAACTTATCTCGCAAAGACTGGGATAATTGTTGCTCTGGAAAAACTAGGTTGGCGCTAATAAGCCATAATGGTCAGACTTGTATAACGTGCTCCACAACACCAAACCACATTAGTATGAAGACTGCATCCAAACACCAGAACTATCTAGCCTAAATAGGTTAGAACAACATCAGTTCAGAAACTCTTAATGTTCTACAGCAGTGGTTCTCAACCTTTCTAATGCCACGACCCCATAATACAGTTCCCCATGTTGTGGTGACCCCCAACCACTTATACATCACTGGGTGCCAGGGGCGTGGCCAAAGAAAAGGGGGAAAAAATGGTGGACAGCCTTGTTTGGCGACCCCCGTGAAATGGTCGTTTGACCCCAAATGGGGTCCCGACCCACAGGTTGAGAACCACTGATCTACAGTGTCTATGGAGATTCTCAGTCACCCAGGTCATAGTTATCAGAGCTGAAGAAGCTTCTTGGATGAGAAGTGAAACGTCTTCAAAGAAAAACAAGAAAGTCCAGTTGTCTTGTGAAAAAGCATCTTTGGGATCTACTGTAAGTTATTAGATCTATAAAATATCAGCAGGAGTCTAGGAGCCTCTTTTCAGACTAAAGTTATTAATGATAGTCAATTTGATAAAGCCTATACTTTTTAATAAAATCAGTTAGTCTGAAAAGTTGCTACCAGACTCCTCCTGATTTTTTACTGCTATAGATTAACTGAGCTCTCTTATAATGTCTAGGAGAGAGAGA